CTCCTGAAATTTTCTTATCTAAACCCTCAGAACCTATCTTTACAGCAGTTGGGAGGAATAATATTTTCAAAGGCAGTATAAATAAACTGCGCTTCTAAGATAATATAGTTTAGCTATTAGCTAAATAGCTTTTTAGTTGAGCCTATTCTGTTTTTTTAAGGATATGAATTCTAGATAATAAGAAAACGTTGGAATAAACAGTCCAAGGCAGTATTACCGAGGCTGCATTATAATACAATAAGTTGCGTAATGGTGTCATTTTTATGATACTGTGTCTTTGCCTCCAAGGGGGGTAAAAAAAAAAGTGATTCTCTGTATGAGGCAGGAGTTTCACTTTCTGTCATGTAATGCAGAAGGCAGCTCATAGTTTGAGGAAGCTGAGTTTAGTTATAGAAGAGGATGTAAAAAAGTGATTGGGCCTGACTGCAGACACACATGAATGAAAAGAGTTTTTAAAGGTAATGAATGCCCAAGAGGAGCAGTGCGGGTGTGCTGACTCGGCGAGCTTGTCACCCTTTATTGTCGTCTTCATAGATTCATTTGTATGGTGTTAGACTGTTCCTTCTCAATGCACTTTGTACAATATTTTCACTTTAGAGAAAAATGGATGTAAACTTTTATCTTCTGAGCATCTCTTCACACTTGATAGAGGTTGTAAATTTTCTTCTCTTTTTATGTATCAGAAAACTTAGGTACTGGAAAGCTGTATCGTGTCACTGTCAACATGTTTGTGCATGTTGAGAATAGACTTGTACTTAATCAGTTTTCCTGCAGGGATTTCTCTTCTCCTGAAAGTCTTGTTTCGAAAGAGGTCATCCCTAAGTGTCACAGGCATTGAATTAATTCTGTGGTGAAGATGACAGAAAAATGGGGCAGGACTAAGTTCTGAAACCCAGAATTAACTCAAAATTTGGGCATCTGGGAGACTGTGAGGGGGAAGTTGCTTGACTATGCAGGTCCTTTACCAATTTTTCTGGTAGTGTGGGAATCCTTTTGTATCTCATGCTAAAATCTGTGAAATGTAAATGACTTCTGGTAATGCTGTGTAGGTGATTATGTTGTCATCCATCCCTTCCATTCATAGCCATGTGGAAAGCATCTCAGCAGAGCACATCAGGCACCTTACTGTCACGGTGTTAACTCGACTGTAGATGTACCTGGCATTTCTTTTTTATGCTTGGGACCATACTTGGACATGGTCCTTCTCTCTTGGCTACCTTGCCTCCAGGTGGTACATGTTTTCTGTGGTTTTCAGGGATGTTTTGGGAATTTCTTTTGCTGTTCTTTTTTCTGTACCCACTCCAAATGAGCAGGGCTTGGAGTAGCAAAGACAAGAATGGAGTGGACCAGAGAGAAGTTTAAAGGTGTTTAGAGAAATGGGCATAATGTAGGGAAGGATTTGAGTGTTGAAGGGGAACGGTTAGAGCCTTGAGAAGTGAAAAAGAGTCATGGAGAAGATCTGGAATACTTAAGTGGGGAATGGTACTGAACTGATGGTTTCAGTAATAAATAATTATCTTTGTAGTTTCAGCATAGCTAGTGCATCAAGCTCTGAAACTGTAACCATCAACTTGTGAATCTGACCCATGTTTGTACCTGCCTTTCCATGGAAAACAACAGGAACAAGAGCCAGGCTGTTTTAAGATTGCTTAATTAGTATATTATTTAAATTGCCTAATGATGCCTAATGACTTCTAAAGAGCTATTAGAAGCCACATTTAAATGTCTGAAAACATAAACTTAACGATGTGCTATCTTCACAGTCCACCGTTAGCTATTATTTCTTTCAGGGATGATAACATGTACTTGCTAAGATAAAAAAATCCTGCATTTGATGTCAAACATTCATAGCAGAAAGGTTCTCCCAGGAGAGACCATATCTGTCTTTACAAAATGAGAAAATAGATGGAGGAAATTTTCTTGTTCACATTAGCACCTGGGTAGGGTTTGTTATCTGTAATGGTGTTGATAAAGATGCTGTATGATGGAAGGTGAAATAAACAGCTTGGAGAGAAGGCTCTTAAATGAATCTGCTGCTTCAGTCATTTGACTTCAAAGAGAAAAATAATGCTGTACCCTTATTTTTGAAATGGCGGGAAAAGTTCCTTAAAGACTAGGACGTTGCAGCTTCTCCAGTATCCAGTTGAACAGTAAAATAACATACTCATTTTTAGCAGTAGTTTTTCCTCACAAGTAGTGTGAACGTCACTGTGACATACAAAGTTAACTTAATCACTCAAGACTTCTTTTGGGAGGATATTGGTTAGATTATTTTATTATTAGTCAGTTATAGGCAGTGTGGTAGAAAGGTTTTCTTAGAATTAGGCTTTATTTAAAAAAACCAAACCAAACAAAAACAAACCACCAAAAAAACCCCACAAAAATCCACAGCAAACTGGTCTGATCTTTCGTGCCACAAGTGTGAGAAGGTTTGCTGTGATGACGTGTGGACTTCTGTATTGGGCTGTGGCTGCAGCGAGGGTAGCCCTTACAGTCCTGGTAGGGGAAAAAACAGAACCCAAACTTGTCTCCAGCCTCTCAGCTGAGGCGTAGTAACTGTGCGCTTGCAGCCTGCAACACGGGGAAAGACGCTCAGGGACCAGATTTGAACAGTCTTACAATTTTAGTGGCAGAGAAAATATTTTAGCAGGATATTTCCAGACCTCCAGCTGTTTTACGAAGAAGAGTAAGAGGTAATTTGATTACTGTCAACGTATTGTCAGGGGCGATGGGCTCTTTCTGTTTTGGTTTGTGGCAGGAGGTGTGTGCTAGTTTCCCATCTGGAAATCAGTTTGCCCAGATGAAAGTTCTCTAGAGCACCAGATAAGTAAATGAAATTGAAGACCCTTTGATATGCAGGTGATTAAACTGCATTCAGGATTTTGTTCTTGCTTAAAAGCATTAAGTATGTGAGAGAAACCATAAATAGTAGTGTGACATTAAGCTTATAAATAGCCTTTTATAATTTTGTAGCGCTTTCTCCTTTTAATAGCCTGTTGCTTTTTAACTTCGGCACACACTAACTCTGCATGTATGTGTTCATTTGTCCTTCTTGGCAATGTTTTATTCCAACTGGAACTGTGGTATTTCTTTTATTGCTTTGGGTTAGTTGATTAACTGGGTTGTAACATGGTTATGTGCCTGGTTTTTCAGTGGACATGAAACTTCATATTGAGCTGAGCCAATATGATAAAACCTCTGTTGTCTTCCACAACATGAGTGCTTTAGAAGAGGCCACAGAAGTTGGCCTAAAAATGAATTCAGTAAATTATAGAATAATTGAATTAATTCATCTCAGACCAACAGCATTGAAAATTTCTTACTGATTCTGAATGGCAGCTGATTTTTGATGTTTTCAGCTCCAAGCAAAATGACCAAATAATTTCTCAGTTGGATATTAAATTATTAAATCAAATGCAATGACACCAAGTGTTCTTATATAGAAAATGTATACCTTGAAAATAATTTACTGTAATGTCAGTAAAAGAAATCTAACTTCTGATTAAAGGTCTGAGATGTCATTGGGTGGTGTGTGTTGAATAGTATATAAATGGAGAGTTTGTCAGTGAAATGTAGTTTCACCTTGCGACTGCATTTTGGTACTGCAGTGCATTAATAAATTCCTTCTTTTTAGGTTTTGTGTCTGTTCAGTTGCATACCTGCAACTTTGTGCCTTTACTTTTTGGATGTGGGAATGTAGGGATGATTTTGCTGTTTCAGTATATTTATAGTTAGCCTTGACAGCAGGATGTTGCTTTTCACACCGTTGTTAATATCTGCTATTTTTGTTGATGTAATTTTGTGGAAGCTTCTAAGTATTACTGTGTAATTCTATAAAGAACAAATATATAAGGAAGAAAATAGCCATATTCAGAAACAAACAAAAGCTTTGAAGTTTTTTCAAAACTCTACTTCAATGAATCCTGGTAATAATTATGAACCTTTTATGCAAGTTTTGGTCTTGTCTTTCCTTTTGCATTACATTTTTCTCCAATACTTTTTTTTTTCAGAAGCTTTATATGCTTCTGTAAATTTGTCAGTTTTGTTTCAAAAGAAGGAAATGCACCCCAACAGGAGAAACATTTTTTTAGATAACTGTGTTAGTAAGTTAGAAATAAGCATGAAGGTAATGGTTCCTCTTAGCTGTGTATGTAGAAAGCTGATTGTAGTTCAACAATTTACAAAACTCAGTGTATGAAGGTATATGCCTGGAGCCTGCACTCTGGGCTTAACATTTATCATGTCATAACTAACTCCTGACAGGGTGTGACTGTTGAGGTCAATACGCCAGAGTTTTGGAAAACTTTTGGTTTGGCTTTGAGTTTCACCTAGTAAGAAGTACAGATTGAATTGTCCTATCATTTTCTGGTAAAGATCTTTGCAAATGATCCTTTTACAAAGTAGGTTTGTACAATTCACAAATCTGGGGAGCTTAGACCTCTTGAAGACACTTTTCTAGAGAAACTAAACCCCCAAACCAGTGATTTATTTATTTTTTTAAATTTCACTGCAGGTGAGTGATTATCAGATTTAACTGCTTAATCACTTGAATGTGAGCGATATTATCATTGCCAGATTCATTCAAAACATTTTGAAGTTCTAGTCCTCTTGAGCTTCCCTGAAAATGGAAACTGTTTCCTATAAAGAAAATCTTTGAGAGGAGGAAGAGGCAAGTCAGAAAAATGCTTTCCTGAGCTGCACTGAAGTGGTAAAAATTGAGAGCTTTTAAAGGTAAATAAAAGGAGAATTAAAAATTTGGGATGATATGAATAAGATGATTCTTTTTCTGCAGGGTAGGTCTGTCAGCAAAGCTGCCCTCGCCCTGTGTGCAGAGCTTTCATTCTAGTGCCCGTAGTGTGTTGCGGTCTCCAGCGCACACCCCGAGAGCAGCTGGAAAAGGAGACCTGCTCCACTTTCATACCTCAGGGCAAACAGCTGGGGAGAGGCTGCATATTGGGGTGCTGAGGAAAGGAGTGCGAGGCAGGGTGGCTGCGAGCCAGGGGCACGGATGGAGTGAGGTCACTTTTCTGGGCAGCACTGCTAGAAGAGTTCCCTTGGTTTGTTCTCTGTTGGAAGAGGAAGTGGAGTTGACGAGCGTTTTCCAGGCAGGTAGCCAGACAGGCATTATTTTAATGTTTCCAGCAGAAAATTGGTGTTTTTTGGCAAAACTGAAATTTCTATTTTGTGAAAATGGCATTTCTGATTAAAAAGTAATTTTGATGGAAAGTGTCCAATTGGTTATATTAAGCCTTAGAATTAGCATCTGCTGTGTTTAAGTCTATTGAAGATAATTTGGCTTAGGTTTAGCAACTCTGAACGGAGTATACACAGACAACTTTCCTCCCTCTGTCTAATACTTCAGTTCTAGCGCCAGCCGAAATTCAACTTGAAGTTGGCTATGAGCAGAATAAAAGCTTCTTCTGAATTTTGCCAGTTTGTTTTCAATTCAGACTGCCTTCAGCTTAAAGGCTTCGCAGCACAGATCCCATGGCTGGAACTAAAGACGCCAATTCAGCTAGCTGCTTGGACTTGAAGATCCTGCTGTGTGCAGCAGTATTGATCTGTGGGTGCTCGAGTGGTTAATAGCTCGCCCACACATTTTCTCCATTGGTGTGTTTTCTGTTGATGCTGTCTTCAGATAATTGTGGTTGAGGCTTGTGTGGCCCATAGGATGTGGGACTTGTGTTCATTTACAGCTGTACCAAGTTAGAACACGAAACTTTCCAGCATTTGGTGGTTTACACCTCTTTTATCTGCGTAGTTGTATACAATTATTGAAGATCAGCAGTTGTTATTTATGTGTGATTTCTTTCTCTTTTTGGCTTGTGAAATTATATTAAAAATCTCTTATATGTGGATGGAAAAGCAGAAATCAAAACCGAACTGCCGTTTGCTATGTATCCTTGACTCAGTGCGTGTAGTCAGGTGGTTGTTAATTAGTGTCCTGAACAGACTGTACTATGTTATCACAGCTATAGGCAGTTGTACATTGTCATTAAAGGCTGAAAGATTACTAGGCTCCTTTTAGAGCTTTTTATTTCTACCAGACACCTAGAGGACTATAAACTCATTTTTTAATAGGTAAAGAAATCTTTTTTGGAGTCATATAGCAAAGGGGTGTCAAATTTAGCTATCCCCTGATACCTGTGAGGAAAGCTGTAGGAAGTAGTTCGGGTTTGTTGGTGTTTTTTCTGGTGGTGTTTTTTTGCCCCTTTCTTAAGCAAGGTATAAACAACCAACTTATTATCACCTGGTGCTTCTGGTTTTAGTTTGTCTGAACTTGCACTGATTGCAACACTTTTTTTACTTTTGAGGAGTAAATATTTAGGCTTCCTAATCTTAGAGTTATATGGGAGCCAGAATTGTCTTTTTATGCAAAATCTATTTAAATCTATTTAACCTAGTTTAGGAACACATTTCAAAAATTACTGCAAATTTATTTTGAGAAGTTTGTATCAAGAAGATATTTTAGTAATGTTTCATTATAGTCTCTATTTGTTACATCTTATTATAGCACTGAGTCATGAAACCAAGAATATGAGACCCAGCTCCAGGAATGGGAAGAGTTACATGTAGAAATCATCTCTGTGAGGGTCAGAGATTGCCATTTTTAAAACTGTTGTCAACCAAGGGCAGGTTATGGATATAATAATTTTAAAATATTAGAGGTGGAACTCACTGAGAAAACTTTTCCATTTATTACTAGTAATCTTTACACATGATAAATACCTCTAAATATCATACATTGGTGTAATTGTTTAATTTATAATATTTTTTTAAATATAGAAGGATAGTTCAATTCACCATTTTGTGATATTTAAACAGTATTCCTCTTCCTACTTCTTTTTTCTGGCAGCTTTATTCTTTTAATGACTGCTTCAGCTATCTGCCCTTCCACAGTTTTTGGTCTGCCTTTTTTTTTTTTTTTTTAATTTTTGATTTTTAAAAATAGATTTAATTATTTTCCATGCTAGCTTTGCCATTTTCCATCCTAAATTGCTTATTCCAGGAGCGAGAGTTGCCGCTAACTGCATGTGTGTGTGTGCTGTCCATCGCGCTGGCTGAAGTGGTCCACAGCAGAGCAGTGCCCACAGCCATGCACCCAGGGGCCATCCCTTCCCTGGGTCTTTGCTGGCTCACAAGCTGGCTGCGGCTATAGCTGGTGGTTGCCATCAGCCTACCTACAGTGGGAACATGGTCTGGGAAGGCGGGGTGGGCAGAGCTTCTGCCAGTTGTAAGATTGTCATGGCCTCCTTGGCTTAATGTCCATTCAGGGCCCATCCAGTAACACCTGTCAGTATCCTGTTGCTTGTCTCTTCCTGTCTGCCGCTGGCTCCCTGCAGATTCACAACTTCTGTTTATGCATCACAGGCCCTAAACTATACCAGTATCTTTACTTAAAGACATTTCTAGCTTCAGCTGCCTGCTCTTTGTTTCTCCACACCATGCTCTGCTGTTTCTAAAGCATTCTGTAAAGCAGTCACACTGTGATCCAGGTGAATCCTGAAGATCAGTTATAGTTTATTGCTTAATAGAACAACAGGTGGGTTTTTTCTAGTTCGTTAAGGTGCACGTGGGTATACTGCTGTCATATAGAAACCTTCTAGACTTATGCTCAAAATAATCTCTGAAACCTCATGTAAACTTGACAAATCTTGTTCAAGAGTGTGTGTGACTGTGGTCTCATAAAACTCCCCTTACCCTGAGCATCACCTACAAATGTACGGTCTCCGGGTCAGAAGCAATGTGGCTGCACATATTCATATGGTTTCAGGTCACAGCGTGTCTTCAGTGTGTCACCTGTGGGACAGATGGGTTTCTGTTGGTTGTGAATAACCTGAGGTACTCGATAGAAAGCTTTTTCCTAAAGGCACGTGGACTGGACGTTTTCCTTGTTTCACTTGGAAGTGATGCAAAAGTCCAGTCTCTTCAGAAGTACTGTTATCAGATGGGGAATGCTCAGCCTTGAGCTGTCAGGAGCTAGCTGGAAGGAGGTTTCCTGGTGTCTTTGCATTTGTTCACACTCCGACCTGTTAAGAAGTCTGTTGCAGTGAAAAGGAAAATGGGTTAAACCTGCTGAAGTAGGGTAGGGTGAAAGAAAAAAAAAGTCTGACTATTTTAATTCTAGATCTTTCTTAACTGCAGACTTCTAGTGTATTGGGTGTATTTCTTCAGCATCTCTGAAGCTCAGTTCCCATCTAGGAGACTGGTCAAAAACTGAAAAAAAGAGATGAGACTCACTATGCAAGGTCATGCTATAGAAATCCGGTACATTTATCAGGCTGCCAGTTCTAATGTAGTATGGACAGACATTCACTAAGAATAAAATTGAAACTTAGAAGTTGGTTTAAAATGAACCATGTTGAACTGTTTAGAATCTGTAAGTCTGTGGGATTTTTTTCTTTTTTGTCCTTTTTTTTCCTCAATTTTTTTTTTTAATCTCGGATTGTATCTAAACTAGAGTCTTGGACCGTGAGCATGGAAGAGTTAATTTTCTTCATGTGAAGAATGACTGGTCATAGAAAGGAAGGACATAAAGGTTTTAGGTTCAAAATAATTGGCAGCGTTGATGGCATGGTGTCTAAAAACTACTTTTTTATTAGTGTTACTTCCAAACTATGCCAGTAAGTAATCTCAAACTAAGGAGTTTTATCTTGCTGTGTATTTATTTTTCTGTTGTTTCCTGAAATGTTACATATAGGAATGAAGAAAAGCAGATACCAGGCTTCCTGCACAGTCCTGCTTCAGACCCAAAGCAGAATAAGGGAGCAGCTGGAATTCTGGAGCATTGTGCATACAAATCAAGCATAATGAGTATTGACATCTAATTAGATAGTGTCATTTATAATGGGTTTTGCTGTTCGCTATGCTCTTGTTCTTGAGGGAAGGGAGGAGCAAGGGAGGGAATTGTCAGGTTGTTGAACTAGTTTATTTTTCAGATGGAAGAGTAGATTGCTACAGTACTACCAAAGTGATTTGCTGTGTTCTGGTACACATCCTCCAGTTTTCTCTAACAGATTGGCCACTGTCCTGTGTAGAGTGACTGAACAATCGTTAATTATTATTTTAATGTTGGAAAGAATGAAATGCTGTGAGTGACAAGGTGTCCACCTTTAACCTTTTGTCTCTATTAGTAATTATGTGATTATAACAGTGAAAATCTTGCTTGGTATCATATAGCAGTTGTTCAGATTTGAAATCTCTATCCAAAGAAGTAGATGAAAAGCATTATCAAAAGACATCTTTGATAAAGAAAAAGGACTTCTAAAAAGAAGTGACCAAGTAATTTTTCAAATGGGGAGTAATTATTAATGTAGGTGTGAAGCTCTTTATGTTGTTGAGGCTTGAGGATGTAAGAGCAGCACATTCATTGAAATGCAGGTGAGATCATGGACATTTTGGGGGCATGTATGTCTGCTGCTCTTTATTGCTCTCAAGAGTGAAATACTTGCAGATAGGAATTTCTTTTGCTGTTCTGTACTTCTTGCATCTGTGAGGGATTTAATCAAGCAGCTCAGAGTGCCGGCAGATAACAAAAGTCTTGAGGGAATGTATAAAAACAGCTGGAGATTAGGTAAGTTCGGTGTACCAGTTTTTCATGCAAATCATGGAGGTTGCTCAGGCCCACAGTGTCAAGGGTGCAGGAAGCCCTGATGGAGGAAGGGGGATGAGCTTGGAGCCTCAGAGCTGCCAGCCCCATGCAGATACCTGGGCTAACAAGAGGACAGTTAGGTTACCCACCAGTGAAGAGAAGTTGCTGAGGTTTTGGAAACTATCTTCCTAACTTTGGATGCCAATGTTTCCTGTACCCACTGTTTTCTTTTGACAGCTCTTCAGAATAGTAGTGCTGAAGGACTATCCTGCAATATCCTGCAATATCCTGCTTTTCCAGTGGAAGCTTTAGGAAGAGTTTAGTAAGTGGCCATATGACAGCTTTATAGGAGTATATTATTTTCCTTAAACAGAATGAATTTGATTAATTTATATATCACAGATAATTAAGAAACTTTCAAAACCTTCAGTTTCTTTTGAATCATTAATGATGCTGTTGCCTGGCTAGAAGTCTGGATTGAACCTTTGCACCTGTTGACAACCAAGTGAAATGACCC